GTGTGTGTGTGTGTGTGTGTGTGTGTGTGTGTGTGTGTGTGTGTGTGTGTGTGTGTGTGTGTTGTGTGTGTGTGTGTATGTGTGTGTGTGCGTGCGTACGTGCGTGCGTGCGTGCGTGCATGTGTGCGTGCGTGCGTGAGGCCGTGTGAACACTGCTAGACTGGATATTTTGACGTTCTTGTGTTTATTACATGCTCGCCTGCGTCCATATTGTAAGAAATCGTCACAGACCGCTCGTAACTTACTGGCTCCATGCTTCTGGCGCTATCGGTGACGTCACCATAGTCATCGTTGTCGCCGTCGTCGCCATAGTCGACGTCGCTAGCGAAGTCATTGACGACATTCTGCGACGATGATCGCGCAACGCAATTATTAATATTTTCTAATTAGAATCGACATTAATTAACTCGTTTGTAGGCCTACTCACCAGCCATAAATTACGTAGACACGCATAGATTATATATAGCCATAGGTAGGTATAGATTCGTTAAGATTATATGATTTAGACGAAGCGTTTAGCCTTAAATTAAACTCCCAACAACGACCTTGAACTCTCCAGAATAAAAACATCGACCCACACGCCACCTGGCTGCAAAACTCATCCCAGCAGATGGCGCCGCCATCCGAGACCCCGCTTCCCCCGCCGACGTACCTGGTAGATGGAGGAGACGACCGCGACGTCGAGGACGGGTTTGACCTTCCCCTGCCGCTTTCTCCTGCGCTGGTGCCAGCTGCGGGGAAGGCGAGGCACGCAGTGCGCCAGCACTCTCTCTACGACCAGTATGACGACACCGGCTGCCGCTCCGCAGCCTAGCGTCAGGAAGAGTCCGTGCATGTGCCACACCTGCGCAGGGAGAGGGGGAGAGAGGTGAGGGAGGGAGAGAGCGAGAGGTGAGGGAGAGAGCAAGAGAAAGAGAGAGACAAAGAGCGAGCGGTAGAGAGAGCGCGCGCGCGAGAGAAAGAGAGATAGAGAGATAGAGAGAGAAAGCCAGAGAGCAAGAAAGAGAGAGAGAGAGAGAGAGAGAGAGAGAGAGAGACTTCCACTGTCCCCATACAAAAGAGAAGGTACGTACCTTACCTCCTCTCCTGTCCTCCAACAAGAGTAGGTACCGTTACGCCTTCTCCCTGTCATCCAACTAAGATAGGTACCTACCCGCCTCTCCCTGTCCCCAACAAGAGTAGTACGTACCTTACCCCTCTCCCCTGTCTCAAACAAAGTAAGGTACGCTTACGCACCCTGCTCCCTCTCCAACAAGAGTTAGGGTACGTACACCCTTCTCTTCCTGTCTCCAACAAAGAGTAGTACCTTACCTTCTCCCGTCCCAACAAGAGAGGTACTACCCCGTCCGCCTGTCTCCAACATAGAAGTACGTAAACCTTACCCTCTCCCGCTGGTCCTTCCAAAACGAAGAGTAGGTACCTTACCGCCTTAGCTCCCTGTCCCAACAAGAGTATGTACGCCTTACGACCCCTCTCCCCTGTCCCCAACAGAGAGTAGGTACCTACCTCCTCTCGACCTGTCTCCAACAGAGAGTAGGTACGTTACCCTCTCCCTGTCTCCAACAAGAGGTAGGTACCTTACCCTCTCCCCTGTCCCCCAACAAGAGTATACCATTACCCCTCATCCTGTCCCCCGAACCAAAGAGATGTATCTCTACGTCTCATCTTCTGTCTCCAACAAAAAGTAGTACCCTTCACCCTCTCTGCCTGTCCCTAACAAGAGTAGGTACTTACCCCTCTCGCCTGTCCTCAACAAGAGCAGGTACCTACCCCTCTCGCCTGCTCCAACAAGATATCAGGTATCTGTAGATCGGCCTTACCGCCCTTGTATGATCTATATAACACTCATTGCTTTCCTGCCCAGCGCAACAGACACAAATACGAATAGGTGAATTCGTGATATAGGAAAATACTCGTGTAGCACATCATCGATCGAGCAGTGTTGCTTAACGAGTCGAATAATCAATAAAATCACGAACGCATTAAACCCGACGTGTCGCGTCACCGCCCACCTCCACCTCAGGCGGACGTCTCTGACTGCCCTGGCGCCGAGCCTGGCGGGACCTGCTTTTCTACTGCTCCCTGCATGAGACGGAACGCGTTGAGATTGTTTATTGTGGCGTCATCCATGCTATAAAAGAAGAACCTAGTGTTTGTGTGTGTGGTGTGTGTGTGTGTGATGTGCTGTGTTGTGTCTGTTGTGCTGTGTGTGTTTGTGTGTGTGTGTGTGTGTGTGTGTGTGGTGTGTGTGTGTGTATTGTTGTGTGTGTGTGTGTGTGTTTGTGTGTGTGTGTGTGGTAGGTAGTGTGTGCGTGTGGTATGCCGTGTGTGCGGTGTGTGTGTGTGTGTGTGTGTGTTGTGTGTGTGTGTGTGTATGTGCGTTGTGTTGTAGTGTGGTTGTTTTGTGTGTGTGTGTGTGTGTGTGATGTGTGGCGTGTGTGTGTGTGTAATGTGTGGTGTGTGATGTGTGTGTGTGTGTGTGTGTGTTGTGTGTTTGTGT